CAAGCATTCTTTTACATGATAGTCAGCTGCCACCTACTTTAGAAATCAACCCCAGGTCCAACACTGGGCTAGCAACTGAGGCTATAGCAATAAACAAGGTCCCCTTACCTCTTTGTAGCTTTCATTCAAAAGGCAAAAATCCAAGCAACTAGCAGACAAACTAAGAAATATCACATACTTCTGAGTGCTTTGAGGGAAATAAAGCAGAGGAATAGAAGAGAGGAGTTGAGAAATGATAATTTTTAAGGCAGTGTAGAAGGGGTAACATTTGAGCAACAAGAAAACAGTATAAGAGCTACAGGAATGTCAGAGGAGTGCTCAGGCAAAGCATGCCAAGGCTGGGGTTGGGGGAGGGTAGGACTGTGCCCTAGAGATTTCAGGTCCCCTTCTGTGCCTCCCACTTTTGGATGATCTTAGTCATCTATTGCACGCCTATCCAGTGTGAGAAGGCTGCCCTCACTTGCATAATTCAAACTTTGCTGGCACACTACCACCTGCTGTGCCTTAAGGACCTGCCAATGGTGTGTGTCTGAGTTGTTGAGTAGTTTTACAGAAGTGGGTCATAGATCCTGCCAGGGTCCTACACTGTGACTCCCATATTCCAAACAACGATACCCTGACATTTAGGATGGAAAGCAGCTGAGCCAGCAGAAGTCAGCAGCAATCTACCTTTTTCCAGGACATGATAAAATAACACGGGGAGAGTTCACTCTCCTCTTAATTTCAGTGGACTCCCTCTTATTTGACATGGTCAGACCTAAGGGTGTAGTTGTTAATATCTTTAATTTTGTAAATAGTTTAACAAGTGTGTGTAATCTCTCTATGTACACGTATATGCATAGATACAAATGTATAGTTTATATGCACATAAACGCATATGGACCTGGAGAGATGACTTAGTATTTAACAGTACTTACTTTTTTTTTCTTTTTTGTTTTTTTTTTTTTTTTTGATTTTTCAAGACAGAGTTTCTCTGTGTAGCCCTGGCTGTCCTGGAACTCACTCTGTAGACCAGGCTAGCCTCGAACTCTCAAACTCAGAAATCCGCCCGCCTCTGCCTCCCAAGTGCTGGGATTAAAGGCATGTGCCACCACCGCCCGCCCCCTTAACAGTACTTACTTATCTTCCGAAAACCCCGAGTTCAATTCTCAACACCTATGTCACGCTGCTCACAACAATTTGTAACTCCAGCTCCGAAAATGGCTTCAAAGGGTATTTGTGTATACATGGTATAAATTATACACACACACACATGCACACACACGCGCACATATATACATATGCATGTACATAATAGTAAAAAATGTAAAGAACATACATTACATATATATACTATTTACATAAACAAATGCATGTTACATTCACAGATTTAGACACATAGTATTGGTTTACTGTCATGTACACAAAATGTCAAAAAATTAGATATGTTTGACATTTTGTTCAGAGCAAGATGCATGTTTATGGATTTTCATATATCCTTTTCACCTAATACATACAGATGTGTGTCCATCTACCTTATCCTTATTAAGCACATATCCTTTAGTGCTTAAATAGGGCACAGTTATACAGAGTTTCTATTGATTGCTTTTAAATGACGACAAGCATCAGCCTCCCGAAGAGAACAGTGTTGACCTAACAGCCACGGGATAGAGCCCTCCATCTTCATCACTGGCTACTCACTCTGTAACAGCTGGCACCTTGGCAATTTCGGCCAAAGTTAACCTAACATCCAATTGACCTGTATCTGATAATCACCCTAGAGACTAAATATTTAACTACAAAGATGACTAGAAAGATTTGCACAAGAGTTACGGCCTGTGAAAAATCAAATTTTGATTCCACATATACAAAAAAAAAAAAAAACACACATTTCTTGGCTAGACTTCATTACATAGGAAATAATCTTGTCCCTCAGATACTTTATGTTTTCCTTCATTTAAAATTGTCTGTTTCTAAAGAGATCATAAAACAAACACCTAGCCCTCTACAGAGAAATAGCTGAATTCCAACATTGTGTTACTCTACAGGTGCTGACCAGAGAAACATTAAAATTTACCATTTTGTTTCAGTATTTGCTTAACTCGTTTTCAAAATTCAGAATCCATTCTGGTCAATCATTTCCAATCTCTTGACATTCATCCTACTTAGGCTTCAATCAACCAGTCAACAAGTATTTATTGCCCTACCAAATTAGAGAAATATGCATAGCAGTTACAGCAAACTCCTTTTAAAGTTATACATTCTATGAAAAGGAACATTAAAAGGTATCACTATATATATAAAGGCAAAACAAAGATTGTTACTTGAAGCTGGGCATAGTGGGCATGCATTCAGTTACAGGGCAAGAAGATCACCATATGTTCAAAGACAGCCTGCTCCACCTAGTGAGTTCCAGGTAAACGTAACTCAGAAGTCCATTTGACAGTTGTTTGGCTCTCAGAGTTTGGAGTGAGCTTGTTTCTATATGGAGCTCTAAGCTAAAAGCCTAATGCAGGCTCTTACATTTGTCAGCTGAAATTTTAATTGAGAGAATTTATCTGAGTTAATCATATTTACAACTATGAAATACAAATATAAAAAAAACTAAGTGTTACTAGTAAGTTATATTTTAAACAAATGCAATAGTTATTCTTGACTCCTAAATCTCAATTCCTGGGAAAAGCAAATTTCATTTTTCTCCTCCATGAAATGAAATACACTGTGATTACAAGCCAGGATGGGATAACTGGCAGACACTTGACATCATCATACATCAATGGAACTCTTAGAATGTTGAAACAACTCATAATATCAACTAATTGAGAGGCACCTGTGTACTTAAACACAGTTAAGTCGCCTGTGCACTCAACACAGGAGGAATTTACACACACAATAAAAGGCATTTCAGAAATATAACATAAGTGACACGTAAGTATACCAATAATTCCTAAAGAGAAAGTAAAGAAAATGCCCCAGGAAAATCTGCTACTTTGTATGTCACTAAGAAGGAGGGGGTGAAGAAGAGGAAAAAGAGGAGGAAGAAGAAGAGGAGGACAAAAGGACAAGATCTCAAAAATTAATAGCATTAAAAAGTATTTGAAATATAAATTACATCCTATTATTTATGTAATCAATAAAAAAGAAACTAAAATTTCAAAAAAAAAAAAAGAAAAAAAGCAGAGAGAATGTAAATTCCACATATTCACGGCAAGAATCTGGGATTCCACCTCCTCTGTGGTCTTACTGGATCTAATCTTCCTCTCCAGTCCCTCAAAGTCAAAGGCCTGAGCTAAGGGGAGTGCTCAAGATGATAAGAACAGATCAACACACACCTCAATGACCACCTTTGCTGTCTGAATCACGGTCCCTCCTCTGACGCACTTGTTGCAGGGTCCTTCCGAGCTGTGACCTTCACCCTTCATGCTCAGCATTTCCTTAACAGTCTCACCTCACTCTTCATTCTACCTCCACGACTGCCAGGGTATCAATGAAACAATACCCCAGATTGTACTTTGAAAAAACACATCAGTTTTAAAACTTAAGAAATTCCTCGTGCCAAATATCGTAAATTTAAATTAAACCACTCAACATGAACACTGATGTAATTCAAGATGTTAGACCTGATTTCTGTCCTTCAACCAAAAGAACAAATCAGACTCCAGCCTTCATCCACCATAAACTGATAGCACACGCCTTCCCAAAGCCTAATTATACCTGACCAGCCCAAGGAGAGCATGCCATGCATAGATTTTTTAAAATGATTTAACACTTTAAGAAACTAAATTAAAATTGTAAAGTTATAAAATGAAAGCAAATGAGTATTTATTTTAAAAAAAAGTCCTTTTATAAAACAAAGGCCTCTTTTCCCTTGGCTCTGGGGCGTGAGCCATGCTCACAACCTTTATCACGTCAAGATCACCTGTGCTGTGTATGGGAGCTATGCAGGCTACCTACCAATCTTCAACAGCCAACGGCTACGCTAGGGATACAGAAGAGGACATTACTCACAGACCTGCAGCTGGCCTCCTCAGTGACTGCTGTACCTAGCACTGCCTCTACCTCCTCCCTGCTTCTCGTCTTCCCTCATTTCCATCTCGGTCCAACCTGGATGCTCATCTCTGGATGCCAGCCTGCTTCCCTACCTCAGCAGCAAAGGTGTGACCCACTTGCCGCTCTCCCTTCCTCCTGGAGAAGGGTGGCTCTTCCCTTTAATAGCATATTGTCATTACTCTCATCATAAAGTGAATTTGGTCAATCAGCTGGGGCCATGGCTTCCATGGTTTTTCCAGAAGGTTTTTCCTTCTATGTGGAAGAGAATATAAATACTCCACTTCTGTTACAAAATTCCCTTAGTTCCAGATTAAACACCAGGCTATCGCAGGTGCCTGCCGACTATAGAGCGTTTAAAGGAATGAAAGTTGCACTTTCATGAATGTCTGATGATGTCTGATCCCCTTGCCAGTCAGACTTCTCCTCACAAAGTCTGCATTGCTTTGGGCTCAGTGAACTAGTGATGCCTTGTGTTCATTACCCACAGGGCTGGCTGAGCTCTCCGTTAGCTCAGCTTATCCCCAGAGTTGGCAAGCTGTGACTTCGTCTTTACATTAAGAACAACCGCACACCTGTTCTCCTCTGTCTGTGAATGAAAATCTGTATCACTTTCCATGAAAGCCTACCTGACCCAATGGTCTCTCATGGCCAATCATTCTATTAATCTTTTAGAAGGTCACATCCAGTATGTTGAAACTGCTTCTCATGTTACTTGACCCTGTCCCACATGGAAGCAGGAAAGAGTGTGGCTATGCTTGTTAGAAACACATTACTTTTCACTGGGGCCTATGGAAAAATAAACCTGTGGATCAAACACAACTTAATTCTAAGCCACAGCTGAGCATTGAAATCAATTTTAGCATTTGAAGGATTGACATTCTAGACCAGAAACCCTGATGATGGCAACAAACTTTGCACAGAACATAGATAACCCCAAGAAAGCAGAATCTACCAACACTGTAGGATCTTACCAGAAAGGGACTCCAGCAGACACAGGAGACACACATTATGGCCAGGAGCTGAATGACCATCTCCAGGTGGTGAGACCTGCCTTGCCTGTGCTGTTGACTTCTAAACTTCACTCTTAAGAGTGTGACTCCTGTGACAGCGTTGCACAGGAACGAAACACCAAGAGCTAAGAGTCCAAGGAAAGAAAAGAACAAGAGATAAAATCTGTCTTCCCAGTCTTCGATGTGCTCCGTGTTGTAGAAGCACCAGGTTCTGGAAGCTTGGATCTGATAATCTCTGTGTCCAAGGATGGGTAACAAAGCCACGAAAACGGCAAACATGCACACGCCGCCCAGTACCATCTTCACGTGTCTCGATGTGATTTTTGTAGAATGGAATATAGGGTTGGTGACCCCGATACACCTCTCAATGGCCATGGCACTGCCTAGAAAAAGTGGGCACAAGCCAGAAAAGACCATGGAGATTCCGAAAACACTGCACAGGATGTTCGACTGATCGAAGCGGATCCAGTCTTTATCGGAAGCGTATACAAAGACGGCTATCCCTCCATTGATGAGGTGGCCAAAGAAGTCTGTGATCACCAGGCCGCTAGCCAGGAGCAGGAAGGAAGCCTTTGACTTCTGTCTAAACCTCTGGTACGCCTTCATGAGAATGGCGATGGCCAGGCTGTTGGATAAGATCCCCACTGTCATGAAGATGATTGAAAAAAACACTGAGAGCCGATTCTCCGTCTGGCAGGTAGTGTTTGCGGTGAGTCCAGCTGCAGGAGACACCGGCTGTTCGGAACTGTTCATGGACATTGTGGAGATAAACGCTATTCCCTCAAGTCATGTCTCTGTCACAACTGTGCAGCCTCGAAGTGCAGACATCTGCCAGCATACAGGACAGGAATTATAAAGACCCAGTTACAAGTCATCTGATATTTAGAAACAAGGGCCTCAGCACCCTGGGATGGGATGGGTTTGCCCAGCCTATCATAAGTCAGGCTGCAGAACTCTCTGACACCAGCATGCATCTGCTCCCTAGTTCTGTTTTTCTCTTTCAAGATAAAGATACCACCCAAACTGACACCTGTCAGTTCACTTCCATAGAAAGAGAGAAATCTCTGACAAAACAAAACAAAACAAACAAAAACCCTCTTGATGTGTCTTGATATCTTGAATCATTTGAGGCCTTACTAAAGCACAAACAAGAGTAGCTTTCAATCCAATGAAGTTTTCAAAGCATGGTACTCCATTTAAATAACCATTCTTTTAAGATCTTGTTCTTATCTCTGTGGGACATTGACCCAAGTGGTGACCCACCTGCTGGTCATAAAATCGAGATCATGAAAGGGCAACATACAGAATCAATCTCTCTCTCTCTCTCTCTCTCTCTCTCTCTCTCTCTCTCTCTCTCACACACACACACACACACACACACACACACACACCTCAGTCACACTTTGACTCATGGAAGAGTGCTGAGGCTCTGAGTTCTGATGTAGCCTTCTTTCACGGGGGCAGAAATCCCTTCGCATGATGAGGAAGGGAGAAAACAGCTCCCCCTCAATTCCTTGCCCTGAAACATGCTGTCATGTAACCTCCAGTAAGAAGTACTGTACTGTTTGCTATTTATTTTGTTACCCCTAATGTTGTGAGTCCGAAGTCCGGGCTAGCTTAAGGACCACAGTCACCTACCACTAGATAATTAGATTGATTTCCCAAAGCAGCTTTCCCGGAGGCTGGGGATTTGACAGCGCTGTGGCTTTAGGTGCCTGGAGGGAGAGGCTGGCTGCCCCCTCTGTCTTAATCACAATTCCACTTTAGCCAGTTGCAAAGCCCAGACCCCAAGGGGCTTCAGCTTGCAACATTGCCTCTAATCCTAACCAACTTGCTGAAACTTTTTGCAATTCCTCAAACTCCAGAGAGTTCTTTTCCCTCCCACCCTGGGGGGCGCCAAAGGTCTGCTGCAGCCGGGTAAGGACCATAAAGTGCCGCCAGCAGGGAATCTCGCGGAAAGAAAGGGGTAATAGCCCTGTGTGCCTGCTTCTCTCCTGGAGCGGGAGGGAAACCTTGCTATTGAGCCCCATCCTTACAGCGAAACACTTCTTACCCCCCAAACCCATCCTTACCCCCCCAAACACTTCTTTCCCCATAGTACACCACGAATTGAATCCAAAATCCCTGCCAATCTCAGTCTATAGTGCTCTCCAGCGAGGCCCCTGCATCTGTCAGCACAGGAGTTTATCAACCCTGGATTCGGCTGGAGAATCCGGGGTCCATGGGAATGAAGCCACAGGGTTGCTGTTACCTCGGCATCCTGGGCCACCGAGTAGCTGTGTCCGGAGCAGAAGAGCGCTGAGCCCCGTGTTCCATGGCGCAACCAGCCCCGCGCAGCCAACACCTCAGGTTCCACCGCTCGCGCCTCCCTAGGACTCTTCTGAGCACTGGGTCACAGGCAGGATCTATTGTGTTCTGGACTCCAGAGCACCTAGAGATGCTCGCAGCCTCTGCGGGGTGGAGGGCTGGGTGACCTCCGCCCCTTCCTTGTCTCTCTCTCTCTCTCCTCTCCGCCCACTTTCTCTACCCGCACAGGGTGAGGCTGCCGCACGGTCCTCTGATGCTTTGGCCACAGAGCTGCAGAAGACAAAGCTTTCAGCCACCAGACAACTAGGGAAACTTTTGCTTTAAACTCGTTTCCAAATGAAAGAGGTCATTCCCGAAGCTGCAGGACAGAAATGAGGAGAGCCGAGGCATGCTTAGACCGTGGTGTGTGGGGCTGTCGGATACAGCTTATGGAGAATGAATTCATTCCAAGTCCAACCAAAAAGGGATGCAGAAATTGGGGTAAAGGTCTGCCGGTTTGAAAGAGAACTTCTAGCAGACGTCCACAGGGAGTAAAATAAAAGTTCTGGCCAAGTGCTGTAAGCGGACCAGCGTAGGCTCCACTGTCACTGGATGCAATTCCATCCCACAAGAGTATAAGGAGAAGTGTGAGCCGAGCACCTGCTGCCCTGGGGTTCGAGACCTTTTGGGAGCATAGAAGTCCTTAAGAGAATTCCTGGTGACATCCACAACAAGGGATGTTCACCTTACAGATTTTGTAAAAAAAAAAAAAAAAAAAAAAAAAATGCTTTATGTTCGAGTAAAGACACACACATTTTTCATTGAGTTGTTATTTGAGCTTGTTAAACGTAGAGTATTGTGTGAACTTGTACAATGTGAGTCCTTTTGTGCTGTAATAGGTTTTAGCTAGTAACACAACCCCCCATACCTGTGACCGTGCCATTTCCAACCCAACACTTGTGTGACCCTATTACCACTCTTAATTTCCCTTCTGAACCTAGCAAAACACCGTAGCTAGCTGTGTGAAGAAACATTGCCACACTGAAATGAATCTGTTTCTCCATTCCAGAACCAGTAGGTGCTTCCAAATTCCTGAATATCGAAAGGGATCATAAAGTGCAAAAGTGAGATAAAATAAATTAGCCATTAACTGTAGAGAAGTCCAGTTGCACATTTCTCCCCTGTGGTAGAGACAGAGAATGTTTAATTTGATATTATCGTAGCATGTTTAAACTGGGACTTGGGGATGGTCAGAGAGGTGAAGGTTTCGATTAGCAGAAAAATGTTGTACCTGGATGGCCAGTATCCAAAAAACAACCCTGTCACAAGCCACACTGAAAATGTGACATGGAGTGCCACTCTTTCTTTTTAATAATTAACAGTCCTCAGCTGCAGTTCGGCGTGTTGATGGTTTTCCTCATGTTTCTCTCCTGGAAACGGCCCTCTACAGGGATCTTCTCTGCCATTCCCCTGTTCTCAGTGATCACAATATCACAACAGTCACCAAACTTTTGAAGTAATAAATTCTAGAGACAGGATTTCGATTTTGGATCTCTGCAGCTTGGAGACAGGGGCATCTCACACCAGTGCTGTGGCACTGGGTGTGAAACGAGAAAACAGGCTCGATCATTCAATGTCAAATTGTAGCACTTAATAAAATCAAGGCAGTGGTGATTTCTTTTCCAAAGTATTACGTAAACTGCATCATGTTTTCAGTCTACTCTGCACCTGTTTTGGAATTCCTCATTTAGAACCCCATTCCTTAACCAAAACATAGTTCAGACAAACTAGACACACCGATATTGGCAGGGCAAGCTGCTCTCAAAGAGTGGACAATGACCAACGTTCAGTGTGGCCCCCAGGCTATGAGCCACCCTAATCTGACCCCCAGTTCATATTCTCCAAGGACAGCGTGGCATAACTGGTTAATCCACAGAAAGAAAAGCAGTCAGGCCAAAACAGAAGAGGAGCGGTCAAGAGACTGGTCGGCCTTCCTAAAATACAGTTTAGTTTGGTTTTACTGCTGAATGTGAGAAGTTGATTCTCCTATAAAGCCGTCTGTAGACACATCCATTCAACAGATTCAGTGAGGATTACTGCTCTGCCAGTACTGTTTCTAGGAGATACATATAGATAAATGCTGTGAGCAAGCACGGGGCCCTGTAGTGTGTGGGTCCTACTAGGAGATGAACGTGCTTCTGCAGTGTGCAAATGATGGGGCTTCAGATAACCAGCATTCTCTTTTTATTAAATGGAGACAAAGTTAATGCTAGCTTTGTCTCTACTCTAGGGGTCAAGAGAGGAACGCACTGTACGGGCGTACTTAGCAATCACTACTCAGGATTAGACATGTTGAAATTTAGACAGAAAGTGAGCTCACTCCGTGACATTGAAATTGAAAAAAAAATACTCCATAGAAATCAAGGAAGGATGTTGGAAATTGAGGTTTGGCATTTTAATTAAACTGCCTCCAAAGGTTTATTGGGATTTGCCACTGAGATTAATGAAGGAAACATGCTCTGATTTGGTTATTTTGAAAATTGCAACTTCAGCCTTTTCATTTTATTCTGTGAATGCTTGATACGTTAAAAGCAATATATAATACATTTGTGAGTAGTAAATTATGAAAATGTAATAAAGTTAACTAAGAGATTTACTATCTAATAAGGGTATGTTAGCTTCCTAGAGCTGTGTGTCTAAGCAGCACATAGAGGGCAGTGTGAACAACAGAAATCTGGGTCTCCGGAGTGAGCGGCTAGGATCCAAGTCCCAGCTGTGGAGGAGGAGGCATAGTTGGGAGGTTAACTGGGGCCTTCAGTGGGCTCCTCCTCTCAGTGAAGCAGGAGGGGCTGGAAGCAGAAGGCATGGTTGGTGTTTAGGACTTTCAAGAACATTCGGCTGGACTGTGTCTTGATAAGGAATTGGATTCTAAAGAAGCAATCCCAGTAATACATACAAAGAAGGTTGGAAAAGTAAAGCAATTTATGTAGTTCTTTGGAAAAGAAATCACTACTGTTCTGAGTTTGTTAAGCGAGCACTATGATTTAACACTGGGTGAGTGAGTGTTGCTTTTCTCTCCATACCCAGAGTTGTTCCGCAGCAGAGAAAACCGTTCTGCTCACTCCGCTATCTGCCCCATCTCCCCTCTGTATGAGAATGAAAACAACCCAGGCTGCCATTCCTGAGTGTCCTATGTCACAGGCTCGGCATAGGATGAGTAATCCAAAATATCCTTCTTTCTTTTAAAATATATTTATTTTTAAACTAATCTTATTTGGTCATTTTGTGTGCATGTGGGAGGGAGTGTGGTCCACGAGAGTAAGTGTGTCACAGCGTGCACGAGAAAGTCAAAGGACGATCCGGGGGAGTAGATTCTTTCCTTCTACCAACCGGCTCTCGGGGATCACACTCAGACCATTAGACTTGGTGATGAGGGCCTTTACTGTTGCACAGTCTCCCTGGCCCTCCACAAAACTTTTCTATCCGACTTCTTCTCAACTTTCCTTTCTTCTTATCCGCTAGCCTTCTTACATTGTCACCATCAATAGTTAACAGTAACAAAAAATGGCATGGCCGGCCTGAGATATTGTGAAAGAATGTGGATTAGATATTGCAAAACCTTCTGCACTCAAACCAAAACAACGCAGACATCTGTCCCTCTTCTGGTTTAGTTCTCAGCAGCAATCTTGGATATAAAGGACACTGCTTTATGTTTTTATTAAAGCCAGGGTTGCATGAAGACTTGAGAAGAGTACCAGTCTGTGGTCAGACACACTTGGTTTTCTCCTCATGGTCCTGCTGTTTGAGAAGCTAAGTTACTCGATGCCTTTGTGTCTCAGATCACACATCTGGTTTAAGTCACTTCATTAACTCATTCGTTTATTCATTTGTTCCTGAGACCTACTGTAGTGTCTAAAGCTGCCAATCATACAATGACAGCAGACTGACGGCCTACAGAATAGACATCAATCTTTCTTGTGCAGTACGGATTCCTGAAGAATAACTGGGAGTCAGCTATTGTCTGAGCGATTGGGGCAAGGTTGTAAAAGACAGAGAGAATCCTGTATGAAGTCCTACAGATCTCAGAGTCTAAGGGTGTGGGATAAATCAAAGACTTGAAAGGGTAAGGAGAAGAGGTAAGGATTTGGGGGGAAGTAACTGAACGCACTGGGAAGGGTACTCAAATCTAGGTTACGTAGGACAGAGCTGGTAAGAGAGCATCCAGGATAGCATGAACGAATGGGACTAGAATTCTGACGGTCCCATAGACCATTAGCTACTTTCTAGAAGACTGACTATGTCTGTTAATTGTTGGCAGTAAAGAATTCTGTCCAACATTTGTTTAACTATTATAAACAATAATTATTATCACTCTCTGTGGACTGAGACTCCACGGAGTTGTTTGGGGGAAATTGGGAATGTACTTCAGCTGTAAATGAAGACCTAATAAAATCACTTGATGTTATATAAACATACATCAACACCTATCCCAGACAGCGCTCTAGATACCTTTAAACTACTTAATTTGA